GGCAGAGCGCAGGCCCAGACTGCTGGCTGCACTAGCCCACAACTTACTTTCCACACTGGAATGAAAGAGGCCCAGTCCAGCAGGTGTTCTCGGCCTCTATAAACTGTCATTTGTGAAGGATGGAGGAGCTGTGGCTGTCCTGTTCGCCACCTCGAGCCTAGACTGTGGCCCTACAGGACAGGCTGAGATGGGGACCCCCGAGTCCAGTGTTTTGCACGTTACTCTGCGTCACCCCCTGTCCGGCCCCTGTGGTTTGGGGTGTGCTGCTTGTCGTGTTTATCCTCTGCCTGTTGGCTGGGGCAGCAGCGAGGAGGAAGGGGTGGTAGAATCAGAGTCACGAGTGAAGCTGAAACGTTTCCCTGCCACAAGGACATGAAGGTCTCTGTTTAAACCATTTTGTGTCGTTTTCCAGCCCCGTGTTGTCTGCACTTGAGACAGTGCAGGAGAAAACTGCAGCTGTGAGTCCCCTGTGAAAGTCACAGCAGCGGTGCAACCTGTGGACTGTCAGCTGAACTGAGCTGTTGCAAAGAAGCCAAATGCATAAATCTCTTTCCATCTTTCTCTTGTTTTCACTCCCTCTCTCTCACCCTTTTCCAACATTCGCTATCACTTCATGCCTTCTTCTCTTTTTCCATGTCTCTCGCCTGCCCCTGTCCCACTCCTCTCCCTCCCTCTCTCAGATCACTATCGGCAAGAATGAGGAGTGCGTGCTGCAGGACAACTCCCAGCGCACCAAGTGGAAGGTGATCAGCCCCTCTGGGAACGAGGCCATGGTGCCCTCTGTCTGCTTCACTGTGCCTCCGCCCAACCCTGAGGCCCTCGACACCGCCAGCAGGTAGCCATGCCCCGAGGTCACGGCTCGGACACGCCCCCCCCACCTTCCCCTGAGGTCACGGCTCGGACACGCCCCCCTCACCTTCCCCTGAGGTCACGGCTCGGACACGCCCCCCTCCCCGAGGTCACGGCTCGGACACGCCCCCCTCCCCGAGGTCACGGCTCGGACACGCCCCCCTCCCTGAGGTCACCAAACATACTGAAATACTGACTCACTGAGCTGTGACTGAGGCAGATGGGGACACTCTGA